TTTGCGTTGCAGCTATATGCCTCACCTGGCCGCGCTGGTGCCTTCCCCGGGCTCCTGAGCCAGCACTGCCTGCTCCCCTCGCCCGGTCCGTCTGCGACGCTTGCTGCCCGGCACATCCCCGGCTTCCCTCTGACACCTCCAGGTCCCATCCCATGGAGCCTGGCTTCATTCCCACTGCGCACTAACAGCAGGCTCTGCCTCATCCCTGCTGAGTGGCACAGGGAGGTGGGAAGGAGCCTGACACGATCCGCCTCGACAGCAGCCCACCACATCCAGGAATGGCAGTGGCGGCTACAAAGTTGTGCTCAGCTCCACAGGTTTGGAAAACAGCCTTGGTCAAGCGCGGGCTGGCCTCGGCGGCATCTAGAAACAGCAACTGGTGGAGCAGGCTTGGTGCAGACAACCCTCAGAAGAACGACCTGCCAAGGCCCTGCTAAATATATGAAAACTGAGGATTTTTTTTTCCAAAGTTTATAACTTGGCCAGATTTCGGATTTTTTCTTTTCCACAGGAGCAGGAAAAGGCACATCTTTGACATCAGAGTGACTACCTTGCCAATTTTTATGGCTTTGCTCCAAACCACAAAGGCACTGGAGTTTCACAAATGTTTGTAAGAAGAATTTTAATCTGGGCACAGCATTCCCCCCTCGTTCTCCAAGCTCGCTGAAACTATGAGACGTGCACAAGTGCGTGCACCCACATTGAGTCAGGTGCCAGGCATAGAAAGTTTGGGCCCAACAGATTGCTATTTCCGTTTTCACACGCAAATGAAGGACTTGAAAATTTAAAAGGTTTTCCTTTTCCGCTGGAGATTTTGTGTTACAGGTATTTAACAACACACCGAACTGTAGGGTTTGGTTTACAGGGGTTACAGCACTGGGTGGGTGAGTCCGTTATAGAGTGGGTTAGGAACTAAAAGCTTGGCTTAGTGAAAAAACCTAACTCCAGCTTAGAAAAAAGCCATATGGTTTCAGTCTATCTGTGAAGTGAGTTGTAGAAAGTTATATTGGTTTCATGAGTTCCTTGCTGTTTGAGCTGACATTCAATTGGTTTATTACTAGTAATAAAGGCGCTCACACACTGTCGTATGGTTACGTTATCAAAAACAGCTTCATACAAATAACCACCGTCTTTCTTTTTCAGAGATTTGAAGCCAGAAAATATCCTGCTAGATGATTACGGTAAGTCTCCGAGGTTTACAGAGGTGCTTTTCCTGTAAAGTAGATTAAGTTAGTTTTAGGATAGATACTGCAGAAAGACAAATAATGCCCTGAAGTGACTGAGGGGCTTAGCGTACGCTAACACTTCTGTCTTGGGGTGGGTGGCGTGTGGAGCTCACCGCACGGATGGAATGAAGCGGCTCGGCAGGGTCTGTTCTCCAGAGCGCGGCTTCGCTGGGGGTGTCTGCCTTTTCCCATTGTTTTTCCACCCCTATTGTTGCAAGGCTGACAGGACACAAATGAAGTTGTGATGTTTAAATCCATGCTTCCCGCTCTGTTTTCAAAAGTACTTCCATCCTTTGCTGAGCCAACTCTCGTTTTCTTAAAATGCCTGAACTGTAAATTGTAAAATTATTGTAGCAATGACAACAGTTGTGTTTTGGGGCTAATTTGGGTTAATATTATTACATCTGCTGTGTGTTTTTTCTTTTTTCCTTCCAGGCCATATCAGAATATCCGATTTGGGTCTAGCTGTTAAAATCCCTGAGGGCGAATCAATCCGTGGAAGAGTAGGAACAGTAGGGTATATGGGTAAGTCTTCAGTAGCTCATCTTTTTTATCATTTGTTTGAGTTTTGGAGAGCTTTCTGCCATGTAAGCTTCAGAAAAAGAATGAAAAAAGATTCACATTCAGCTGGGTCCAGTTCCCTGCAGCAACCCACCGAGAAGTCATGCTAGTGGAAGTCAAAAGTGGGCCAAAGGATGGACCACAGCAGCTCTTAACGAGACTGGTCTATAACCTTAAACTAGCAAAGAAAATCAAATAGAATCCCAACAAGTGTGATACTATTGATTTTACCTTAGATTTATGTTATGGGGGTTATGTGCTAAAAGAAAGGTTTCTTTCCAGTTGCTACTTTGCATAATAGTTGAAATGTATTTGTATGTTTATGATAAAAGGGGTTAAGTCCTCATCTGTGGTCATCTTGACCACAGGCACCTTGAGTCTTCCCCTCTGAGCAGGGGAGGCTGCACAAAAGAAAAGTAGAGATTTGTCCATTGGTAAAAACAGTCCCTGATTTAACTACATCTGGTTTCTAAATTCCATGTAATTATTTTCATGCATTCTCTGGGTGGGCATATTTCTTGGAATAAAAATTGCTTGTGCTTATTTGGCTAAATAGAAACGAGCTGATGTGAGCCACTGTTACGCCATATGGAGACGTTAATGAAAGCAAGCAAATCAGTTGTCATTTCCAAAGCTCGTTATCTCCATGTAAGTTTGTGCGCACACTGAGACTCTGTGCGTGCGGGCACGTGTGTCTCTGTGTTTGTACCCTTGTGTGGAAGTGAGGATGCCTGCAAGACAGTGACTAGATGCCCAAAGCACACTGGATGGTTGCAGCACAAAACAAATGGATTCGTTTCTTAAAGGGGGGAAAAATAAGTTATAAATTGACTGAAAAGGCAGAATTTGCTTTTGAAGAAATGTCACTGCTATTTACAGGATGTGTGTTTGCATGTAATTTCTTCCCTAAATGGTGAAATCTGGAAGGACTCTGAAGATTAGGCCTCTGCTTAATACTTTGCTTCAACTACTTTTGGGGTTTTTTTAATCGGGCTGACTTGGTAGAGAAGTCAGAAGACAGGCACGCAGCGTGTAGCGAGAAAACCATGGCACATAGCATGCTGCATTTTCTGTAATGCCACCAACAGAAATCAGGAAGTATTTTTATATTTTATCCCCATTCTCTGTGCATCTGTATTCTGTCACCAGAGGGGAACTTCTAGAAATTTACATTTTTTTGCTGATGTAAATATCAAGCAACTTCCCCAAGACACATCTTTCTCCTCCACAGCTCCAGAAGTGTTGAACAACCAGAGATACACACTCAGCCCTGACTACTGGGGGCTAGGCTGTCTCATTTATGAAATGATTGCTGGGCAATCACCATTCCGTGGAAGGAAGGAGAAGGTGAAGAGGGAAGAAGTGGACAGAAGAGTGCTGGAGACAGAAGAGGTGTACTCCCATAAGTTTTCTGAGGAGGCCAAGTCCATCTGTAAAATGGTAAGGAGCTTGAAGGCCCAGTGTGGCAGCTGTATCTGGCAGGGTTTGGGCAGGAAGAGGACCATAGCGGGGCTGCAGAGACAAGGGCTGCCCAAGCTCAGCTGTTGGTGGGATGACTGCATTCTCTGTTCATTCCAATGGTCTTTATTTGGGCTTGCTTCTCCATGAGATTCATCACGGTCATCTTGAGTCCTCTCCAAAGGTTTATGGCCAAGGGAGCGCTATCTTTTCTCATGAGACTTTGAATGTTAGTTTGCAGTCAAGAATGCATTTCTGTCTTTTATAATCTTGTAGAAAATAATAAAAAGGACTTGATGATGCAAGACTCTAATTGTCTCATGCAAGGAACTGAAAACCCCATGCTTCCATTGTCTTTGGTGAGAGCTGGGGGTAAGCAGGACAAAGATTATGCAATGAAATCATTGTGACACTCAGATGTTGTCCCACTCCATCTCACTAACTTTGTTAGCAGCTTTTCCCCGGGGGTGCCAGGGTATCCAGCTTTTTTTAATACTGTTGAGCTGTCCTTTACAATGTTTTCTCACTCTTTCAGCTGGGAGTCATTTTCGTAGCACAATAGCCGTGTCTGACAATGGAAATCCTCAAACCCTCTGAGAAATCTCAGAGCTGTGTCTGAATTCATCAGTGCCTTGTCGAGGTCCATCTTTAGAAGGCTGAAGTGTTGTTGGGAAAGGGAGGTAGCCTTTCTCGTGCAGTCGTTGGCTGAAGAGCGAAGTCTCCTTTGGAGACAGTGACATACCTGTGTGTACCGGCAGAGAGAGAATGAAGGGAGAGAAAGGTCAGCAAATAGGTAGTGAGAGCTTCGCCAGTATCTTGGGCAACAGGCAAGGAAACAGCAGATCAACAACATTCCGGTTGGCTGGCTTCAGGAAGAGACACTGAAGTCTCCTAGCAAAATAATAATGGTAGTATTGCCAAGTATCGTGCCTGGAAGTCATTAACTCACAGTGCACCAACTCACTGCTGACTCCCTGGGGTAGTAATTAACTGACATCACTCTTGATAGATACCCTGGGCCATTCACTGCCCTTAATCTGCGCTTCAGAGCCCCCAGTGAAGTCAGCGTGGGAGGATCTGGGACAGCCACGGGCTCTTACAGACCGTTGCATATGCTCAGACAGCCTGCCGTCTCTGATCTAGTAGCAGCTCAGCTCCTACCAGGTGAGGAGCAGCATCTGCCGCAGCGGAAGACGGTTTGTGCCCGTCCTGTTGTTAGCTTGAAACGAAAACGTCGCCAGGCAAAACTTGCATTCCTGTTGCTTATTCTGTAGTTAGCTGCAGGCACGAGGTGTAATAGAATCACAGAATTGCAGGAGGGTTTGGGTTGGAAGGGACCTTTAAAGGTCACCTAGTCCAACCCCCCTACAACAGGCAGGGACATCTGCAGCTAGACCATGGACGTATGCTTTGGAAATAGCCAAGCCCATGAGAACTTCAGGCTGAGAAGAATTAAATGCAGCATTGCTGGGACAGTGCTGGAGGTGACCTCCTGCTCCCAGGGGATAGACAGTAGTCGTCATTATTCTGCAGTGATAATTTTCATCTTCAAGCCATAGAGCCTACAGTTGCGGGGAGTCAGGGACCTCAGGAAGTCGTCTAGTTCATTCTTCTGCCCCAGGGAACCATGAACTGGGTGTAAATCATTCCTGACAACTTGGTCATTACGGCCTCTCTGTCCAGTCCCGTAGCATGTTTATTTAGGTGATTTGTGCAAACTCTTAATGGATCCAAAGATAACTCTCTCATTTTCTAGCATGAGTGCATTAAAATTACTGTGCCTTAAGGCTGCAAGAGCCTTACTGCTGGTTCTGAGCGTGATGGCATTTGTGGTTTTCCATCCAGAAGTCATTCATTTTATCAAATGACATTTTTCAACATCCAGGATTCAAATATATTTCCTCAAATACTTCTTGCTCTTTATATTGAAAACCAGGACTTTGTCGCTTCGTATCAGCATCTTAACAAGGAAACAAAAAAAGTGGTAGTTACGGACCCATCACACCTGCAAAATGAAGCACAGAGTTGCAGTACATAAATCCAACTTCACAAGGTCCCACAGAAGGCTTTCCTGTGGTGGACTCTTCAGGGCAGGAGTGAGGAACAGCAGGTTTTCCACCTTCTCTTCACAGCTTACTCCCTGAGCTAACAGCGTCTCCACCAGGAAATACATTGTCTATTAATTTACTCACACGAAACCCCTTTAGTGTCACCCCGTGTCAACCCTCCTCCCCTGGATGTTTCTGCCCCTTGCATTTTTGCAGGCGCCTATCACAGCTCCCATTAGCCATCATCCATCCCGTATTTTCATTTGTAAGTCACTTCCCATAAATCAGCCCTCGTTTTGGACTGAGAGAGAGATGAATAATAAATAATTAGGAACAGGGGCAGCTGGCTTTCTGGGAAGCTCCCCAGCCCATAGTTCCCATATAACATAACTGCTTCATGGTGTGGTTTTTTCTGTGAAAAAAAGCCAATCTTTTAGGAAATGCTCCCCGTTTGGGGCTGTTACGACTCGTACCTCGTTGATGTATGTGTGTGTTTCCCCTGACAAGTGCAGTCTCGCATCCAAAGATGTGACTTGAAGTGCACTCGAGTCAACACTCTGGGATGGGCCCATGTTGCTGTGCGCTTCTGTGGCTGTCCGTGCCCTCTCTCTGCGGTTCCCGCAGACTGTCCTCCCTGCTGCCTCTCAGTCCTGCAGTTCCCGTCTGACTCCGCAAAAGGGATCTCTGGTTGGAGGGTGCTAGGAAGATGGAGCCAAACTCCGGGTTTGCAGGAGACAGTGGGCACAAATTGAAACACAGGAGGGTCCCTCTGAAACTCGGGGAACACTTTTCCATAGTGAGGGTAGTCAAATACTGGAACAGGTTTTCCAGAGAGGCTGTGGAGTCTCCACACTTGGAGATATCCAAAACCCAACTGGACACGGCCTTGAACAACCCACTGTAAGCGACTCTGCGTTGAGCAGAGGGATTGTACTAGACAATCTCCAGAGGTGCCTTCCAGCCTCAGCTGATTCTGAGCTCCATTCCCATCCCAAAGTGCCTCCCCACCCAACTAAAAGATGATGGATTCTTTTTTCCCAAAAAGCAATATTTTCTCTTCCTCACTCACCACCAGGAACTCTGTCCATACTGCTACTACTCCCGCCTGCTTTCACCCTTCCTCTCTGCCTTCATCCCTGGAAACCAGCTTGTTCACATCTTACGACACCGTGAGGTTTATCAGTGCAGCCTGAGAGTAACCGCGCTTCCATCGCTCTGTCCAGGCACCTCATACGCATCCAAGTGCTCTGCAGATGACGAGCAGTGTATTGGTGGTGACGAGGAGGATGACAGTGATAAACAATACCCTTCTGCAGTAAGCCTTTGCAATAAGCTTACCCGTGCCTGAGAGAGTTCTGACTCTTCACTTGGCCGGACTGGGCTGCGATTTCATGAGCATAAGCAGTGCAACGTACAGCCACTTAGGTCACTCTGGCACCTTCAGTTCCCACACCACTGTCTCGTCTCATTTAGCTATTGAGAGGTGACCACAGTATTACTTTTCTGTTCCCCAAAACCAGTATGCTTACCTCTGTTTCAGGGGTGAGGTTTATCCAGGTGATTCCCTTAAACTACTTCACCATCTGGGCCAGTGGAAGTGGTTTTACCGTTCACTTTTCTACTTTCATGAGCAGCATTTTTATGCACTTTCACCCCACAAAACGTTTCCCTTACTCCTGCAATTGTAGGACTAACGTCTTAGGGCTGGAGTTATTTATTACTTGGTATGATCTGGCGATGAACTGACTGATCACATGAAGATAAATAAAGCAGGGCTTTGGGGACTGGTGGCTTTTTTTAGCAATCCTCACAACAGTTGTTTCTTTTTGTAAAGGAAGCAAAACAAAGTTGTGGAAAAAGTCTCAGACATTGCAGAGTTGGAATCCCCAGCGGGGATCAAATGAGTGACATGAAAGTATCAGAGAGTTCTTTATATCAAGAAAAAGATCTTAATGCAACTTCACCACTGCAACCCAAGACTCTCCTTTGAAAGTCCTCTTCTAGTCACGCTTTGCCCCTAACTCCGTAGACTAAATCCTGCCCCACTTACACACATCCCGTGTCTTCTGGAGTCTTTGTTACTGGAACACAAAGCTCTGCTGCTTGGGATCAGCCTCATGCATGGATGGATGGTCTGAGCCACCCTCAGACCTGAAGCTCTGTGAATTGCCCGCAGGCTTTGGCTGTGGGATTCCACCTGGATGGTGTTTGATTGGCTCATTTGCACTGCTGTCCTGCGAGGGCCTGTCCTCAGCCTGGTGTAGTTGCTTTTGTTCTGCTCTCTCTTCATACTAAACACATCCTTCCAAACGGAATTAAACAAAAGTGTAGAGATGACTCAAAACATACACTTGTTATCTCCGTTCTCTTGCCCTGGTCAGATTCCCGGATGGGAGGCGTATTTCAGGCTGTTACTCAGGTTTAGTATTGCAGAAAGCTGCTGGAGCTGCAGGAAATGGTACCAGACTCATTATTCCTTGGGGAAAGCAAGGACTTTTCCTTCTGGAAAATATTCTAGCCCATGCTATCTCTTGATCTCCACAACAGAATGCAGAAGAAGCGTTTCCCTTCACCTGCTGCCATCCCTAGGGCTGGCTGCAGCTACAACTTACCAAATTCCATCAATTTCTTTCTTTTTTTCCCCTCCATGGGGACTCTCCTAGGACTTTCCTCAAGAGGCAGGCAGCTGCTCCCTGCAGCAAGGCTTAGCAGGAGAATCCTCTCCTTTCTGCGGTCTTTCATTCCCAGCCTATTCCCAGTGGCCCGTTCCCTTTTGTGTCTTCAGCCTGCAGTGGCCAGCCACCCACGACCAGCTGCATTCACGCTCCAGAGACTTCCTTCTGGCATCTGAGGTTCCTGAATACTCCCTTGTTCATCACGGAGGAGCCCAGGAATCCCCAGACAGCCTTTTTCTGTCCTCAACTACCCTATCCT